TTGACGTTTTTGCAGCTGCTGTTTTTGACTTTTAACGTTTTTTTCTACAGATAGTAAACCCCCCAGCATGTTATCCTATGTGACCATGCACACACAGATTGTAAAAAACATTTTTTGGCAAAGACGTTTTTTGGCTGGAAAAAAACCCAGGACTAGTGGGTTTCTAGTGGAGCTTTTTAGCTGTAAAAATGCTCTAATGCTGAAAAACGTGTCAAAATGTGGTAAACTGCTACAAACCGGCGTATTTGGATGGTTTTTGACAAAAAAACCCACTATAAACGTTAAAAAACACAAACACAGGAAAACGCCACTAAAGGTGACTTTACACAGCTAACGTTACCAGCGTCATCAAAACACCCAGTGTGCATGAAGCATGGAGCCTTAGCAGTGAGTTGACTTACATGAGCGTCCTATGACCATTGTGTGTGTGTGTGGTCATAAGACGTTTGTGAGTGCAGTTTCATTTGAATTGAAAAATATTAAAACAGAAAAAGGTTTGATTTTTTAAACTAAAGGTTGTTAACATTTTTTTACATTGTGACTTGTGGTTTTTTTAATTTTTGGGTGTTTTTCTTTCTTGTAGATTAGTATCCCCCTACCTCCTTAGTCTTTGCAATTTTCTACTAGTTGAGTACTTGAGTTGTTGATAAAACTTGGACTTTTGTTAGCTCCCGTGCTTCTTTGACATAGGTTCACTTTAAAGGCTAACACCACCTTTTACATATTTAGGGTGCAACATGTAATATGGTGCCAAGAAGCCCCCCCCCCAGAACACCCCTCCCCCATGAACACATGTGGGGTTCTCCTCCTCCACAATTGTGTATTTACAGTTGTAAAAAAAGTTTGGGATCCTTTTTATGATTTCCTACATGATTGGTATGTCGAATGTTATCTTGTCCTCATCTAAGCTATAATCGTCTTGATTAACAAATGCACACAATCTTATTCACTGCCATATCATTAATAAGGAAGGTCAATATTGGAAGAATATATTAATCTATATATTTTTTTCTAGTTAAACCTTTTTTGTTGTCGGTGAACTAAACCAAATTATGTCTGTAGCTACTGATTGTACTTGCACGGCAGTTGACTGTTTCAGTTTTTGTATATATTTTAAAGATGTCTTGTTACAACGGCCTACATCAGATTACTCCACAGCATTTTCATTGGAATGTGGCTAGAACCATTTTATTAAATACGACTTTTCTGAAAACCACTCTGTTAATGTATTTAAATGTTTTTGTCTGTTTTTTACAGGTATTTTTATAGTGTTTACAAATATGCATTAATTTACATAATGTACATTTACATTGGTCATTGTCCACAAGAAGCTTACAATCTAAAGTTCTTATCTCACTTACACACACATACACACTCGCATACATACACACACTAGGGCCAATTTAAACGGGAGCTAAATAACCTATGTCGTGTCATTATCATGTTACTTAACTGATTTTGCATTTAAGATAACTAACACTCTGAATCCATCATGTGGAATTTCCTAATGCAGCTTTGTAATTAATTGCTTCTCATTGATTGCAACCCATTCCGGTCCAGCGCCAGTTGGGAAGACATTTTGGTGTTGATGTGCATTGGTTATTTACAGCAAACATAACACTTGCAGATTTACTAGTTGGTCTAGTTTTAGGGCCCATTCACGTAATCACATTTTATGTGCAAGATCACAGTGAACTAAAGGCATATAAGTGCATTGCAATGGAAGGCAGTGCAAGGGGCAGACTGACCATTTGGAAACTCGGGCACTGCCCAAGGGCCTGGGGTCAGTAGGGGGCCCCATGAGATGCCCCTGGTACCTTTTTCATAGGCTTTATTGAGTTAGGGCAAAGACACAGGGGCCCCATGATCCCCTATTACCTGGGGGCCCCATGAGTTGTCAGTCCGCCCCTGGGCAGTGCTTTAAGTTTTTGACAAATCCAGCTTGCTTCATCTTTGATGCATTTTGGTAAAAAAATGCAGTTTACATTATAGTCAATAACATCACTTAGGAAACACACAGAAAATGTACCTATGCAATATGTGTTTAATTAGTATGTCTTTTATTTACATGTCCCATTTCCGAGAAAGAAACTGTATGTAAAATGCACATAAAACACACTCTCAAAATATGCAAAAAACATAATATATACACTTTGGGAAAAATGCATGTGTGTCTACTGCCTCGTTGGTGTGATAGGGTTTAGTCTCCACTCTCTGCACGATATTGTTCTGGTATTGCTGTTAAACATTCAGGTAATCTTTTGTATCCTATGTTGCACTGCATAATGTGTCAGTACTGTATACTGTAAGGAATGCATTTCTGATATATATATATATTACATACACTGTATATAAATAATGTAGTAGGTAAATTTTGTTCTGGCTCACTGTAATCAGTGTGGCTGTTTGTGATTGTTTAGGTGTGTTATGTGTTTCACACGCTGGAGGGTTGAATAATCCTCCTACAATCTGTAACCCTCTGGGAGTGGAGCAAGGCACATGAGCAGCATGAATATTTATACTGTCTCGCCCAATCTCTGTGGGAAGAAGGCACATATGCTGCTGGGAAAGTGTATACATAGTTTGAGACCTGGAACAGAATTGTCTAAACCCTAAGGAGGAGCCATACAACCAATTTATTTGTCCTGGGACTTTAAATGAGACATTTGTAAAATTGCAGAAGGGTTTAAGATAATATTGTCATTCTGGCTTTTAAGATGGGATACATAGGTGATCTGTACCCTTACAACTAATGTATTAGTCCTGGGACTTTAAATGAGGCACAATACACACAACCAACGAATAACTAGTTTCCAACATTAATTTTTAATAAATGAATAAACTTCTTATTGCTTACAAAAAGAGGATAAAATGGTAACTAGGTAATTTTTAATAAATCCATATTAATGCATTTCATACATAATTGGATATACAATTGACCATATACAATCCAGATGTTGATACATAATTACATTAAAACTGCATCCAAAAACTCAACACGTTTTGTGACTCTTAGTTTACTTCTTCAGGAGTAGATGCATATATAATATAAATCAGCTAAAAATACATATGGCAGTATTTCCAAATGGTGATTGCCAGGGGAGTCTCACCCGAGAGCTGTGGAAGTATGGCTCCGTGAGAACCCAAGGGGACAAGCCAGAAGCAGATTCAAAGTGGGTGGGCAATCATGATAACACCCATGAATCAAGAGCTGTACGTCAAAGTGTTGCTTCTGAGTATCCTCATGCAGCCCATGAGGATACTGAGAAGCAACACCATCTGGATTGTATACGGTTAATTGTATATCCAATTATGTATGAAATGCATTAATATGAATTTATTACAAATCAGCTTGTTACCATTTTATCTTTTTTTTGTAAGCAATGAGAAGTTTATCTATTTATTAAAAATTAATTAATAATTATTCGTTGGTCATGTGTGTTGTGCCTCATTTAAAGTTCCAGGACAAATAAATTGGTTGTACGGATATATTAAGGGATGGAGGCACATAACTTGGTGCATCAGGTAACATTCTATTTTTGTTAAACCCTGAGGAAGAGATCACAGCCTGGAGGGGGCTGACTGCCCCCCAGGCCACCTGTCAGTGTTTGCTAATGATCGCGGTCCCAGCTAGGTGGACGGGGAGGTCAGGTTTTGCTGGAGCTGAAGTTGCTGCGCTGACTTAGGGGGATATCATCTGTGGATCTGGTCTGGTATCACAGGGAGAAAGTGGCTGAGCTCTTCAGAACACTGGACACTTTTTCCCCTTAAAACACACAGCTGACTCTGTAATTTTCAGTGAAATGACTTTGCTTGGACTGTCTAGGGAGCAAGTTTAATCTCCTCAAGTTGCACTACAACACTTGGGTCATTTCTTTACTTGTGCAAGGACCTGGCTCATAGTTTTACAAAGACAAAGTGTCCTCCTATTTGTACTTTGTTTTGGAGTATCCCACTCAAATGTCTCGCCCCATCCAAGTTACTCAAAAATAAAAAACATCCAAAAATAATATCCCTGGACTGTTCATTGAGCCAAAGAGTGACTGTGACCTTTTGCCTGGCTATAGTGCAACTACTGGGAAAGGAACCCTGGGCATCTTTCTAGTGGCTCTTAGTGCATTTCTACATAGTGCATTCATAAAGTATTCACTCCCCTTCACTTTTTTTCATTTTCTTATGTTTCAGCCTGATTAATTTGTTTCTCATTAATTTACACTCAGTGAAAACAGAATTTTAGACATATCTCTGAATTTATTAAAAAGAAAAAAAACTGAAATATCACATGTACTTACGTATTCAGACCCTTTACTCAGTACATTGTTGATGCACTTTTGGCAGCAATTACAGCCTCCATTCTTTTTGGGTATGATGCAACAAGCTTTGAACACCTGGATTGTGGGATTTTCTGCCATTCTTCTTTGCAAATCCTCTCAAGCTCAGTCAGGTGGGCTGGGAACCATCGGTGAACAGCTATTTTCAGTTTTCTTTAGAGATGTTCAATAGGGTTCAAGTCAAGACTATGGCTAGCAACTCTAGGACATTCACAGAGTTGTCCTTAACCTCTAGCCTACAGGGCACTTATACCCCCTTCCTGCCCAGGCCAATTTCCAGCTTTCTGCGCTGTTGCACTTTGAATGACAATTGCGCGGTCATGCAACACTGTACCCATATGCCATTTTTATCATTTTTTTGTGACAGATAGAGCTTTATTTTGGTGGTATTTAATTACCTCTGCGTTTTTTATTTTTTCTTAAACAAACCAAAATCCACTGGAAATTTTGAAAAAAAAAAACATTTTTTCTTAGTTTTTGTTATAAAATTTTGTAAATAAATGATTTTTCTCCTTCACTGATGTGCGCTAATGAGGCTGCAGTGATGGGCACTGATAGGCTGTACTGATGGACACTGATAGGTGGCACTGATGGGCACTGATGAGGAGGCACTGGTAGGTGGCACTGATGGGCATTGACAGGCATCACTGATGGGCACTGAAAGGCAGCACTAATATATGGCACTGATAGGTGGCACGGATAGGCAGCACTGACTGGCACTGATAGGCGGCACTGACTGGCACTGTTAGGCAGCACTGATAGACAGCACTGACGGGCACTGATAGGTGGTACTGACTGGCACTGATAGGCGACACTGACTGGCAGCACTGATAGGTGGCACTGATTGGCAGCACTGATAGGTGGCGCTGACTGGGACTGATGGGTGACACTGAAAGACAGCTCAGATGGGCACTGATATGTGGCATTGATGTGGCACTGATGGGCACTGGCAGGTGGCATGAATGAGCACTGACAGCTGGCACTGATGGACACTGACAAGTGGCACTGCTGGGGCTACACAGATCATCAGGGTACGCTGATCATCAGTGCCCTGATGATCAGTGTACATGTCCCCTCTGAGGGATGCCGATTACTGGCTCTCCTCTCGAGCTGTCAGCGTGACAGCTCGTGAGGAGAGAAATGCTGATAACCGGCATTTCCCTGTTTACATGATTGGACACAGCTGATCACATGACCGAGTCGACATCTTCAGCTCTTTCCATTGATCGGTGATCCGCGTTGTCCGAGCATGCGCAGTTAGAATGGAAGGACGTCATATGACGTCCTCCCAGAACAAGAGAACCGCCTTGCACCCGTCATTGCACTATATGGCGGGTGGGAGGCGGTTAAAGCACCCTTGTATTGTCTTGGCTGTGTGCTTAGGATTGTTGTCCTGTAGGAAGGTGAACCTTCACCACAGACTGAGGTTCAAGTGCCTTGGAACAGGGTTTCATTGAGGATATCGCTGTGCTTTGCTCCATTCAGCTTTTCCTTAACCCAGACCAGTCATCGCTGCTGATAAACACCCCCACAGCATGATGCTGCCACCACCATACTTTACTGTTGAGATTGGGCAGGTGATGAGTGGTGCCTGGTTTCATCCTGACATAACGTTTAGAACTGAGGCCTAGTTTTGCTAAACTTCTTCCATTTGAGAGTTATGGAGGCTGCCATGTTCTTGGGAACCTTCAGTGCAACAGAATTTTTTTTGCAACCATTGAAATAATTCTGTCTCTCAGGTCTTTGTGTAGTTCCTCTGACCTCCTGGCTTTTGTTCTGATACAGTGTGCATTAACAGCTGTAATGCCTTTTATAGAGAGGTATGTGCCTTTCCAAATCATGTCCAATCAATTTAATTTAGCACAGGTTTACTCCATTCAAGGTGTAGGTACATTTCAGCAGTGATCAAGAGAAATAGGAGTTACCTGAGCTACATTTATTTATTTATTATTTATTTCAGGTACTTATATAGTGCCGTCAATTTACACAGCGCTTTACACATATTGTACATTCACATCAGTCCCTAACCCTCAAGGGGTGTACAATCCAAGGTCCCTAACTCACATTCATACACATATTAGGGCCAATTTAGACAGGATCCAATTAACCTACCAGCATGTCTTTGGAATGTGGGAGGAAACCGGAGTACCCAGAGGAAACCCACGCAGGCACAGGGAGAACATGCAAACTCCAGGCAGGTGGTGCCGTGGCTGGGATTCGAACCAACGACCCTAGTACTGCCAGGCGGAATTGCTAACTATTTAGCCACTGTGCTGCCCATTTCAAGTGTTGTTGCAATGGGTCTTAATACTTATGCTAATGTGATATTTCAGTCTTTCCTTTTTCATACATTTACAAACATTTGTAAAATTCTGTTTTCACTTTGTCATTATGGAATGCTGAGTGTCAATTAATGAGAAAAAAAATGTAAACAACTGTAATAGCAGGCAACAACATAACACATTTGAAAAAAGTGAAGGGGGTCTGAATAGTTTATGAATGCATTGTATATACAGTATATATGTATGTATATACTGTATATAAAAACATTATCCGATTATATGATGTGGAAATCTGGAAGTCAATGCTTGCAAAACGCAAGGTGTTCTGTGACTTTTACATAATATTGTTTGCTGGCAGATTGTTTCTCCTGTGACCTGAGCTGTTTTTTCAATTGCTGCATATTATGAGGAGAAAAGGAATTCATTTTATAGGTCCTTAAAGCTGAACTCCAATTATGGATATTATTGTATTGTTACATTGTTCCAGCTTGGATCAATGTATTGATACATACTGTTTACTATACATATGATATACCTTGCTGCCATTGCTGCTTCCAGTTCCTTTGTCTGAGCTACCGCCTGTGTTAACTATGCATCAGGACAGCAACTCAGCACGGGACTCAGAAAGGCAGCAAAAATGGCAGCAAGTTATGGCCTATGTATATTCACATTGCTCCAAGCTGGAAGAATGCCTCTCTGTAATAATATCCATACCCAGAGATTAGTTTTAAGGACTTAGAAAATGAATTCCTTATCTCCTCATAATATGCAGCAATGAATACCTTATCTCCTCATAATATGCAGCAATGAATAAACAGCTCAGGTCACAGGAGAAACAATCTGTCAGTAAACAATATTGTGAAATTCAGGTTTTGTGCAGTCTATAATAATGAAATACTTCTGATGCTCAGGTTCTACACCTATTCTATGGTATCCTTCGGGATCTAGGCAGACATGTTTCTAGAGCAACAAAGCAACATTTTATACTAAGGCTTGACATTCAAGGAGTTATTCTATAGGTCAGGGGTCGCCAAACTTTTCAAACAAAGGGTCGGTTTATGGTCCTTCAGACTATAAGAGGGCTGGAGTGTGGCCATTGGCGGTAGAAAATGTTTTGGGCCCATTATCAGTGAGAATAAACATGGCCTCAGGGATGGTGGTTAGTAGGATGAAGAGTAGTGCCCCATCATTGGTATTAATGGCAGGAATAGTACCACATAAGTGTTATCAATAGTGCCCCATGGTTGGTGTCAGTGGGAGGAATACTGCTTCATATCATTTAGAGGAATAGTGCCCCAAGGGCCGGATAAAGGCTAGCAAAGGGCCACATCCAGCCCTCGGGCCGCAGTTTGGAGACCCCTGCTATAGGTTATCAGCCCCTGCTGCTTTCCAAAAACGTCATAGTCACATATGTACTGTGCTACAACTGATGAAGTCAAAACATAAATCTACCATTGAAGCAGCTTTTCTCAGTGTAATGTTTTGTAAATAGGCATGTTAACTTTTTATTGTACTGAATGTTAATTCTCTGGACACATGGAAAATGCTTGAAAATGTCTAATACTTTGACAAAGTAAGCCCATTCAACTGTTACGCATAGCAAGAATATCCTAGAAGGATTCTATGTGCCATGTCTGATATGCATTAGTCCCTTTTTCATATATTTTTTTGGGGTTTTGGCAAATCTCTAAAGCGGTAGGACACCTACTCTTCCCTCAACCTTCTCCAATTGCTTATCTGGGGACTGGCATGCAGAATGTAACAACACATGTGCATAGCCAATTTGGACACACTGTGGGGTTCCTTTGAGTGTAGCGCTTTTCATAAACTTCCAGTTTTGCGTAGTCCCTGAACCTATCTTCACACAGACTCACCACTCTCATTGAGCCTTGTGACAAACAAACTCCTCAACTTGGGCTGCACACGCTCCTGCCTATTTACACATTAGGGTTGATTTACTAAAACTGGAGAGTGCAAAATCTGGTGCAGCTGTGCATGGTGGCCAATCAGCTTCTAACTTCAGCTTGCTCAAGCTTAAGCTTTGACAATAAAACCTGGAAGCTGATTGATTTTTCTGCAAAGCTGCACAAGATTTTGCACTCTTCAATTTTAGTAAATCAACCCCAGTGTCTCTTAATATCTCTTTCAGGCAACAGCCTAGTCAGATTGCCTCTCCTTGAGGCTAGAACACACTTTTCTAGTGTCTTTTCACACACTGCTCATGCAAAAGAACCCTTAACGATAGACAGTCCCTTGACTTAAGGCAGGGCACACCTACATGATCAGAATGCTAGTTTCCTGGAAAATGTGGACCCAATCCAGGAGTTACCAATCTAGGAGAACATTGCAAGACCCAGAGCCCCTTAACCTGCATAAGTGAGGACCCTGGATGACCTTTAACCCTTCTAACAGCGTGATAAGGAGCAACACTGTCATGATGCATACTAGTGTCAGTGTAGACAGAAGCCAACTAACCTACTTCAATGTCATTGGAGTGCTGGAGAAAGCCAGAATACTCATGCAAACGCAGGAAGAACAAGTAAACTCCATGCACCCCAGTTCTGCAAGGTATAGGTGCGAGCGACTAGGCCACTATACTGCCCATCTTGTCAATTTTATCTTGTATAGTAACTGCAGTCTGCTCTTGGAGGATTATGATTTCATTAACACAAAATCCTAATTATGCACTATATAAACATTTTAACATATCATGGACTGGAATAGAATGTGTTTTGTTAGAAAATCAGATTTTTAATTTAAAGTAAGGAAATATACACTCACCGGCCACTTTATTAGGTATACTTTGCTAGTGCCAAGAAAATATCCCCCACATCATTACACCACCACCACCAGCCTGAATCATTGATACAAGACAGAATGGATTATTATTATTATTGTTATACAGGATTTATATAGCACCAACAGTTTGCTCAGTGCTTTACAATATAATGGGAGACAATACAGCAACAATACAGTTCAATACAAGAGGGATAGGAGGGCCCTGCTCCTTGGAGCTTACAATCTAAGAGGTATGTATCTATATATTATTATTATACAGGATTTATATAGCGCCAACAGTTTGCTCGGCGCTTTACAATATAATGGGAGACAATACAGCAACAATACAGTTCAATACAAGAGGGATAGGAGGGCCCTGCTCCTCGATTCTTACTTTCATGTTGTTTACACCAAATTCTGACCCTACCAGCTTAATGTCGCAGCAACCAGTCTGCCCATTCTCCTCTGACCTCTGACATCAATAAGGCATTTTTGTCTACACAACAGCCGTTCACTGGATATTTTATCTTTTTCTTTGTAGAGATGATTGGGCCTGAAAATCCAAGATCAGCAGTTTTTGAAATACTCAAACTAGCCCATCTGGCACCAACAACCATGCCACATTCAAAGTCACTTAAATCCCCTTTATACCCCATTCTGATGGTCGGTTTGAACTTCAGCAAGCCGTCTTCACCACATCTAGATGCCTAAATGCATTGAGTTGCCATGTGATTGACTGATTAGCAATTTGTGTTACCAAGCAATTGAACTGGTGTACCTAATAAAGTGGCTGGTGAGTAATATTTGCTGTGGGGCTGCTCAGTGGCTAATGGGTTTCCTGCATTGGGGTTTTATGTTGTTCCTGTGTCAGCATTTGCATATTAGCAGGTTAACTTACTCTGACCCTAAACTGGTCCCATGTATATGGTTGTAATAGGGACTATGGATTCTGAGATAACTTATCAGATGGCACTCATGTGACTAGTTCATTGTTATCTATAAAGTGCTACGGAAAAAATGTTATATAAGTTACATAAGTTGGTAAAATAAGTACAAAGTTATTTTAATTTTATCACTTTTATTTAATATTTTAACAGTCAACTTGTTAGAACCTAGTGACTATGGTAACAAACATAGCAGGTGAATC